ATTCTGCAGCCTGCGGGGGTTCCCACCGGGACAAGGCTTTGGCTTGAGGTATTCATATTCTGTGGCCTTGGAGAGCTGAGCCCCTCAAGTACACAGGGCCGTCCTTGGGCATATGCAGAATACGCAGCTGCGTAGGGCACTACAAAATTTGGGGCACCAAATTGCCCCAAATTTCATGGTGCCCTATGCAGCTGTGTGCTTCGTATGTGGCAGCGCTGGCAGCCAGCCCCATTCCCCAACTGGCCCCCCTGTGGGGTGTGCCCACTGCAAGGAGCAGGGACGTTCCTAGGAGGGTGCGGGACCCGGGACAACTCCCTCCATCCTCATTTTCCACTCCTTCTCCCAAGCCCCCTCCCCCAGCAACGGACGCAACCCAGGGGATTAGCGGGCGGGCCTGGCGCTGGCAGCAGGGGTCAAGCCTATCCCCGCACTCACCAGTAGTGGCAGGAAATAGAGCAACCCAGCCCAACCCGCTCCTCTTCACTGGCTCCCCGCTGTGTTGGTGAATGCGGGGGAAGGGGGGCGGACCCCTTCCACCAAGCCCCCTGCCCCGAGCGACATAGCTGGGGCAAGGGGAGCGAAGTGGGCTGGGGCCGGGTCGTTTCACTTCTTGCTGCTGGTGCCAGGCCCCCCGCTAATCCCCAAAGCGCCCCCCCACAGCTCCTGCCACCACGGCCCCGCAGGCCTTGAGTGCAGCCCAGACCCTCTGCGGGGGCGGGTGGGGCGGGGAGCAGGTGCTTGGGCTGCATAGGGCACCATAATTGGTAGGGACGGGGCTGCAAGTACAGCATCGAGATACACTGGAACCCGGTACTGACTACATGGAGAAGCCCGCCGGACAGCAGGAGTAGAGCCCTCTGGCAGAGGGAGGGGCGGACATTACACCGGCACCGCGTGTTTCCTCCTCACCTGATGAAGCGCTGTTGGGGAAGGAGTTGTTCCCAGTATGGGATGATTATACGGCCCACCAGGACTTATTAAAGCGGGTGGCGTCCAACCTAAACATCCATGTGGAGGAAGTAAGGGAATCTACTGAAGGCTTCCTGGACATCTTAGGGACGGCAGGTCCCTCTAGGATGGCCCTTCCCGTATGTGATGTGATTATGAAGCCCATAAAATCTTTGTGGCTCCCTCCCTCTCATTGCCAAGTGGACTGAGCTAAAATATTTTGTACCAGCCAAGGGCTTTCTGTGAGTTCTTATTTTCTCACCCTACCACAGGGTGCCTCGTAGTGATGGCTGCCAGAGAGAGAGAGACCATCAAGGCCAGGCAGGACTGACACCTAAGGCAAAAAATCCTAAAAAATTAGACCTCCTGGGGAGAAAGGCCTATTCTATAGGAGGATTGCAGTTCCGAATAGTGAACCAGCAAGCCCTGTTGTCTTGCTACGATTTTAATATGTGGGGGGTTAATGGACAAATTTCTGGACAAATTCCCCCAGGATAATAGGGGTTCTTGGCCCTCGTGGAGGAGGGAAAGACAGTGGCGAGGACTTTGTTGCAGGCCACCCTGAATTCTGCGGCCAGGTAAATGGCCACGGCTGTCACTATATGTTAGCTTCGTGGTTGCAACGGTCAGGTTTTCCTCAGGACGTGCAACAGACAATCCAAGACCTGCCCTCTGAGGGATTGTCTCTCTTTTCTGAACTAAAGGATGTGAGGCTACATGGCCTTAAAGATTTTAGGGCGCCACTGAAATTGCTGGGTCTGCATATGCCCGCCCAGTCAAGAAGGTCCTATAGACCTCAGCAGTATGGATGTTATTACTCCCAGCCACACAGGCAGGATCAGAGGAGGAGGAGAAATGGGGGGTTTGGGCGCAGACCCCCCTCTGTCCTCATTCTCCATGGGACCTTCTCAGGTTGCTCCGAGCCAATCCTGCACCTTGAGATACTTGTTTTGACGAGGCACTTGAGGACGGACTACTAACCCCCCTCCTACAGGATCCAGCCAACCCTATCTTTTCTAACCGCCTTTCCCGTTTCCTCCAAGCCTGGGAACACATCACTTTGGACCGCTGGGTCCTAAGCACTGTGGAATCTAGATACAGTAACTCATTTAATGTTGTCCCACTTAACGTTGTTTCAGTGTTACGTCCCTGCTCAATTAGGGAACATGCTTGTTTAAAGTTTAAAGTTGTGCAATGCTCCCTTATAACGTCGTTTGGCTGCCTGCTTGTAAGATTCTGTGGAAGAGCAGCGACTTTACAAGGGAGTATTGCACAAGTTCCGCATCTCTGCCTCCTCCCCCTCCCTCCCAGCGCTTCCCCCACCACCAAACAGCTGTTTGGCGGCACTTAGGACTTTCTGGGAGGGAGGGGGAGGAGTGGAGACGCAGGGCTTCCCCGCTCCTGCCCCTCCCTCCCAGAAAGTTCTAAGCGCGAAGTGCTGGGAGGGAGGGGCAGGAGTGGGGAAGCGCCGTGTTTCTGATCCTCCCTCTCCCTCCCAGAAAGTCCTAAGCGCCGCCAAATAGCTGTGGAGTGAAGCGGGGACAGTAAGAGGCGGGCCTGGAGCATTCCTGGCAAAATCCGAGCCTGTTCTCCGGGGAAGCTGCCACTGCTGCTGCAAAGGTGCTTCCTAGCATCCTTGCCTGGAGCGGGCTGTGCCTGTGTAGGGTAAGCCAGGGGCACTTCCCAACCACAGTACAGTACTGTACAGTATAATGCCTTTTGTCTGCCCCAAAAAATTTCCTTGGAACCTAACCCCCCGCATTTACATTAAATCTTATGGGACAACTGGAATCGTTTAACATTGTTTCACTTAAAGTTGCATTTTTCAGGAACATAACTACATTAAGTGAGGAGTTACTTTACCCTTCAGTTTGTTTCTACCCCATTTTCCCACCCCCCCCTTCCCTATCCCTCTTCAGGGACCTTTCTCACGAGCTTTTTCTGTAACAAGAGGTTCAATCCCTCCTTCGGATGGGAGCTCTGGAAGAACTAAGGGGAAGAGGGTACTATCCCGGTATTTTCTTATACCCAAGGCCAAGGCAGGTCTCAGGACCTTCCTAGACCTGCACAGTCTCAACCATTATCACAAGAAGTAGAACTTTCACATGGTCTCCTTGGCTTCAATCATCCCGTCACTGGATCCAGGGATTGGTATGCTGCCCTCAACTTGAAAGATGCCTATTTCCATAAATTGATATTCCAGGGCCAAAGGAGGTACCTAAGGTTTGTGGTGAGCCAGGCCTATTACCAGTTTGTGTCCCTGCCTTTTGTACTGTCCGTGGCCCCAAGAGTATTCATCAAATGAATGGCAGTGGTAGTGGTTTTCTGAGAAAGAAAGGGGTCCAAGTCTTCCTGTAACTTGACAACTGGCTGATCAAAGGTCAGTCCCAAGTGCAGGTGGAGCTGGACATTGCTCCGATACAAATGACCTTTCAGTCCTTGAGTCTACTAATAATTATCCAGAAGTTGACCCTCATACTGGTGCAATTTATAGGGGCAGTTCTCGACTCCCTACAAGCACAAGCTCTTCTATCCAAGGACCACTTCTGAGAGATTTCGTCCAAAATAAGCTCCCTGCAGTCACAGCTGATTACGACAGTTCAAGTTTGTTTAAGCCTCCTCGGACACATGGCATCGTGCACCTATGTGGTTTGACATGCGAGTCTGAGACTCAGATCACCTCTCCAAGCTTGGTTAGCCACTGTCTATTCCCCCTCCAGGCACCACTTGGACAGGGTTCTCACGATACCTCCGCAAGTTTTGGACTCGGTGACGTGGTGGTTAGACCGCAGTGTGGTCAGCATGGGGGTACCTTTCGCGAGGCCTTGAGCATCCGCACATCTGATCACTGACATCTCAGTGCTAGGATGTGGTCTGTGGTCTCGAGAGGAGTTCTTGCTCCATATCAATATCAGGAAACCGGGGCTGTCTGCCTGGCTTTGCCAGGCATTCTTGCCTCACATCACAAACACAATTATCTCTGTTTTTACGGGCAATACCTTGGCCATGTTCTATATCAACAGACGGAGGAACTCTGTCAAGAGGTAGTCTGTCTCTGGGAATTCTGCATAGCAAATTCGATAGGCCTCGAAGCGTCTTACATTCCAGGGGTGAAAAAATCTTCTTGCAGATCGCCTGAGCAGGTCCTTCTCTGCTCACCACGAGTGCTCTCTCCACCTGGATGTCACCAGTGACATTTTCCGTAGGTGGGGAGTTCCCCACATAGACCTGTTTGCCATCCATACCAACAGGAAGTGTCAGCAATTCTGCTCCCTGAGGGTCTCTCATCAGCACTTTTCTCCTGTTACGTTCGAATCACCTACTGTACGCTTTTCCGCCCATCCCGTTGATTCACAAGGTTCTGATGAAGATCAAGCAGTACTGAGCTTGGGTCATCCTAATAGCTCCACCGGGGCCCAGGGAACATTGGTACTCCCCACTACTATGGCTGTCCGTGGAGCCTCTGAACAGTCTCTCGTTATTCCAATCCTGATCATGCAGGACTACGGGCCACTATAGGCGGCGAGTTATATGGATCTGTGGTGCCCATGCTCCACCAATTTTCAGGAACGTGGGCCCGGCTCCACCAATGTTTGGGCTTGTATTTTCAGAGCTATCCCATCCATAGGACGGACCAGGGCAACCACCCTGGCCCCGCGCTTTGGGGGGCACCGTGCTTCAGCGGGAAGCGGGGTCCAGGGCAGCCTGGAGGGTTAGCGGGGGGCTCGGCCTTCCCGCCCCTGCTCCGCCCCACCCCCACTCTATCCCTTCCCCCAAGCCCTCACCCCCGCTTCCTCCTCTTTCCAGCTTCCGCCTCCTCCCCCGAGTGATGCCAGCGGAGCGGGGTGGGCTGGGGCCAGGTCGCTCGCTGCTGCCGGCGCCAGGCCTCCCCCACTAGCTTCCCAGGCTGCCCTGGACCCCACGTCCCCCTGAAGAGCGGTGCCCTCCAAAGCATGGGGCCTGAGGCGGTTACCCTGGTCCGTCCTATCGACGGGATGGCTCTGCTTGGACCCGTTCTGGGCACCATCAAAAATTATACAAACCTGGCACCCATGTGGGCCACAGCTTCATCCAAACCTCAGCGCATTGCATCTGAAGACCTGAAATCTTTATGGCTAAACCCTGAGGAACTAGCTTGCTCCGAGCAGGTGCATAAAGTTCTGCTGGGCAGCAGGAAGCCCTCCACGAGGGCAACTTACTGGGAAAAATGGAAGCGATTTTCTGTGCAGTCATCACAGCAAGGAGTTCCACCAGAGTGCACATCCCTGCAAATTGTTTTGGATTACCTTTTATCCTTGAAACACCAAGGCCTTGCCCTCTCTTCAATTGAGATTCATCTGACGGCCATCTCCGTGTTCCATCCCAAAGTTGACAGTAAGTCCCTCTCTCTTCTCATGAGAAGGTAAGCTGTTTTCTGAAAGGCCTGGAGAAGGCATTTCCCCAAGTAAGGGCCCCAGTTTCTCCCTTGGAGTTGAACTTTGTCATCTCAAAGCTGACAGACTCCCCCTTTGAGCCACTAGCAACATGCTCATTATTACACCTCTTTTGGGAGGCTGCCTTTCTGGTGGTCATTGTATTGGCCAGGAGAGTATCAGAGATTCGGGCCCTCACCGCAGAGCTTTTCATACACAATTTTCTTTAAAAAGTAAGGTCAAGCTACAGCCACATCCAAAATTTCTTCCAAAAGTAGTGTCCCAGTTCCACTGTAACCAGCCAATCTTTCTCCCAGTCTTTTACCCCACGACTCATGTGAACAGAGAAGAGCATGCCTGCATTCTTTGGACATGAGGTAGGCTTTGGCATTCTACATTGAAAGGACTAAGCTATTCTGTAGATTGCCTCAACTCTTCATAGCAGTAGCCGAAAGGATGAAAGGCCTCCCTGAATCTGCACAGAGGATTTTGTCTCGGATCACATCATGATCCGAGAGTGTTATGACCTGGCGGGAACTTCCCCTCCACCAAACCTGACTGCTCATTACACAAGGTCTCAGGCCTGTTCCACAGCTTTTCTGGCTCAAGTTCTGATTCAAGACATCTGTAGAGCCACCCACCTGGTCTATGGTACACATGTTCTCGACGCATTATGCCATCACTCAGCAGGTCAGAGATGATTCACACTTTGGCCGCGCAGTACTACAGTTGGCTTGTCCTTGATCGCCAAGCCCACCTCCAACGCAACTGCTTGTGAGTCACCTACAATGAAATGGACATGTGCAAACACTCCAACAAGAAAAAAACTGTTAACTAACATTTCCATAACTGTTCTTTCAGATGTGTTGCACATGTCCATTCCAAGACCCACCTGCTAGCCCTACTCTTGGAGTGGTCGGTAAGAAGAAAATGAGGAGTGCAGGGTCAGCATAGCCCCTTATACTGGCGCTATGAGCATGTGGCACCAGCGGGCTCCAGAGCCAACCCGACGGATACCACTAGGGGAAAAATTTCCGGCAGCTGTGCATGGGGTGCACACACACCTACAACAGAATGAACATGTGCGACACATCTCGAAGAACAACAGTTATGGAAAGGTTAGTAACAGTTTTTTAGGTTAGATACTGTAGTTGGCATTTCTCCATCAGTTAAGGGAGTTTTGTCCGTTCCTGGTGCCGAGGCATGCCTCGGTAACCAGGCTTCAAGCCCTGTGCCTCCTGCAACAAGGCTATGCCTTTGAGTGACCTGCGCTCTAGCTGTCTAAAGTGCTTTGGTGAGGCTCACATCAGGGATTGCTGTCAGATCTGCAGCAAGATTAAATCTCATATGAAGAGAGACTGGGAGGCCAGGTTAAAGTTTCTATTGATGAAAACGGTGCTCAGACCTTCTTCTGAGCCAAGCTGGTTGGACTCAGCACCGAGCACATTAGCTTTGATGTAGAGCCCTCCTCCCGCTGTACAGGAGTCCCAGCACCATTCGCCATCCTCAATGCCGAGAAAGAGATATAAGGAGCAGCTGACCAAGATGGGTCATTCTCCAACACTGAAGAAGTCCAAGCACGGGGAGCAGAGTGCAGTGCAACCTAAGTCAGGCCACTCCTCTGCCTCGGCATTGCAGGTGGCACCATTGACTCCAACCCCTATGCAGCCAGTGCTGAATCTGGTCCCGGATGAACTGTCTGCACTGCAGGGACAGTGTGGCATCAGCAATGTCGTGGTTCCATCCACTCCAGAGGCATTCACTGTGGCCAGAGACCTGGTGGCCCTCTTGGTACTGCCGTCGCTGGTGCCGGGGCCTGCGGGCAGGAGGGATCACGTAGCACCCAGCTGCCATCTGGTACTGGGTCGCATGGTACCGTCGAGAGCTGGCCCTGATGCACGCCCCCCCTGCCCCAGGAGTAATCTCCAGCACCAGTGGGAGCCTCACTTCCATGGTCCCTGGAAGAAGGCTCATTTTCGGAGTCGGAAATTCGGTTGTATTCTTCTCATCCGATGAATAGATTCTGCCACTCCTCCACGCATCCCTACCCCACCGTGGTCCCTGGCACAGGAGTACCATTGAGCACTTGGCCTAGTGGTCACTTTCCAATGCCAATGTAGTGGCCCTTTTGGAACCTGTGGAGATTCCCCCTGATGCAAGACCCCATTCAAGATGCTCTTACTTGGTGATCTCCAAGAGTAGGGTGCCAGAGCTGACTTAATGGTACCACTGAGGGAAAAATTTCCAGCAACTGTACTCAGGGCACACATACCTCTACAGTGGAATGGATATGTGCAAAACATCTCAAAGAACAATTGTTATGGAAAGGTTTGTATTTTGTTCCTTGATGAACTGATGTTTCATCAAACAATATTTTATTTGCTAAGGAACCTGTGTAGGGTAAAATTATTTGGATGCATGACAGGAGAGAAAAAATATTTTAAATGGTTTATTTCTGATTTATATCACTCTTTCTTAAATTATCTCCCTTGTATGCCTCTGGCCTCCTTGTGCCTTTTTCTGTGGTTTTAATGCATAGTTGCCAAGTACATCATAATATCCAAGCGAAATGTTCATTTACTATGAAGGTAGTGATAGCTAGATTTCAGTTTATAGAATTGAAGTCAAGCAGTACACATAGCTTATTTCTCAAGAATATGAAACTCCAGTACAAAGACCATTGCAAACATTGTAAGCTAAAAATCTAAAGAAACTTAGGTGAATGTGTGACATTCTAAGTCTTAGCATTGAGGAGCACCATATTTTCTACACGTCGAGTTAATTGGATGTGTCAGTTAACATGAGGTGCCCGGAGAGGACCTCTTGGGATAGGATTAGTTAAGATTACCCAATGAAGTGTGTTAAATCTTAAATCTTTTGTTGCTGATGGTATGACATACTGTACATAATCATTTCTGGCTTTTCCCAAACAACGTTGAACACATACACTGTGCAATAAAATGAAAGAAGATGGCTCTGTGTCAGAACAAATAGCAGTTCTTCAACTTCTCAAAACATAAAAGTACTGCATGTGTTATGGATATCCAGTCTGGAAAGTTGGGCCTGGGGAGAACTCCATGGTTGACACATCTTTTTTCTTCAGCATCTTTACCGGCTACCAGGCATACATTGTATTTAATTACAAAAGCTAAGTATGTCTATTATGTCACTCTGCTTAAGTTGTGGAATGTCAAAGACTACCAGGTACAGTACAATTTTGTGAACTCATTTTACTTAAGGCCTACACTACTCTGGTTCTCCTGAAAAGCAATCCAGTGGAGCTTTCAAAAATACTTTGTTCCTGTTCAGGTTTTATAAAATGTTTTGTTACCTACTAACTCCTTAATCAATGTTTCATAATATAAAAGTTACATTAAGTGTTCTTCAGCTCAGTGTTTTGCCTAGATATCTATCTGCACTTTAGTATTGCCAATGAAATAGCTGTTGGGGGATATTATTTTTAATTGCCAATGTTAGTGATTTTGCTTTTCAAGGAAAATATTGTTTTGACATTGTATTAATTCTCATTGTACTAGAGATTTGCTTGGCTGTTAAATGTTTTCTAAGTCACTAGGGTATGAGCATATAATAAACTGTACTAGCTGCTCTATGCAATTTCCATGCTTAAATTCTTCCACCCAGTTTAGGCAAAATGTTATCTGTTTTTGAGCTTTTATGGTACTGTGTACTAATTTCCTCAGATCTAGTTTTGACGTTTAATTAGGTCAGTGTCCTACACAATAAAAACTTTAAATAATTCAGAGGCCAAAGAGTTTTCTGTTTAGCCTAGAAATGCATGATCTTGCTGTTGTGCAGAATAATTAATAAAAAATAGATATCAGATGAAGAGTTACGACTAGTTGTCTTAGTGGTGGAAAGGAACACTAATCATGGAAAATGTTTTAATTGCATTTAAAATGTTATGCTGAGAATAAGCAATTATTAGATTCTGAAAGATAGTTTTGGGGATGAAAGTCAGTTTGGTATTGAGTAGCTGTTGTATCTACTTTGTAAACCAAGTAAAAGAACAATTTTTAGAAGTTATGGGTATATTTTAGTGAGTGGTTTTCCAGAATAAGACTTCAGTTTGTCAGATTTTTTTTTCCAAAGTATGGAATTCTATTTTATTTTTGGAATTTATTAGTATGCTACCTTTTTTAATGCTTTTATAAATGTCTATACTTTTGAAAATAACGTGGTTATACTACTTCAGCTTGAGAATCCTGAAGTTCTTGTTTAGTTATGGGTCTGTTGAGGAACACTAGAAAATGTTCATGTGTAATTACTAACAGTTCAACCGTATTACCTGTTTATAAGATTGAATGCACCTTTAACATAATATTAATGGTAACTTAAATGCACAAGGAGGGCATTCTTGATTATTGCAGCTCTCCTAACAAAGCTGCTTTGTGCGTGGCCTAGGTTCAAAATGTACTTTTGTTGCAACTTTGCTTTGTAATTCTTTATAAATTGATAGCAATGTTATATTGTAAACAGTGCAGAAAATAGCTGTAACTATTCACATTCTTGGCTCACATTAGTGAAACATCTTCCAAGTATCTGATTGCTTCTTCTGAGTAAAACAACCTGAATTGAAATACATACTGTGGTGGTTGTTGTCTCAGTTTGTCGGGTAGTTGGTTCACTTCGTTCTTTACAGTGCCATTTAGTTTCCATAGAGTTGCATTCACATTACGAGGCCATCTAATGGCAAGTACCATTGAAGTGAGTACGAAAATATTGTACCTAAAACTTTAGTAAAAGTAGCTAATGTACTTGTTCAATAGTTAATTTAAACGTTTCTCTGTTAGCTGTTTTAAAAAAAAATCATGACATTTTGCAGGCAATTATGGTATCTAACTTTAAAATTAAAAAATCATCTTTTTGGGAGAGAACCTCAGCTGAGGAAGTCAGTGTAGTTCCACTGACTAACTAGTAGCATACATCAGATGAGCACATATTAAACTGGATCCTTTTTCATTTCTTAGCT